TTGAGTAATGACAGAGATAATCATTTTGTTGAAAGATTGCTTCAAAGTGAATTGAAGGGTTCCAAAACTGAAAATCTTACTCAACGGCATTTCTACTTATATTCAAGTCCCCCTATTCAAATTGATTTGAATACCAAATTGCCTTTTCCCGTTAATATAAGTACCCTATGCAACGAGCTACGACCTGATAACTATGAAAATTTGTATCTGAATATCAGTTCATTTTTTACCCAACTCGTTAACTACATATTAACAAATGTTCAAGAATTGAATTGCTTAGTTCTTTTTAGCAGATTTGTAGAGTTCCTTTATAAATCTAGCATTACCAGCTCAGACAGCATTACGGAAAAGGAATTTGTGAATTACATCAAAACCATAGGAGGTGAGATAAAGTATATCATGCCTAACTCAGATCTCCAAATGCCGCTTAAACTAGTTCATTATAATACTCAATATAGAATTACTACTGTGAAGTTGTCAATCATTTTTCACTACATACTTTTTGCTGCAAAAAATGGCCATGAGGCAACACAAGGGAGTCTCTACAAAACGATGTTGAAGACACTTATACTATCGCTATGTGATTTTAATTTAAATGACGGCAATGTTAATGAGTTAACAACCAACTTCGTAACTCCCGTATTTATCAATATTGTTAATTGGAGGCGGGATGAGCTTATGAAGCAGCAACAAGATAAAACCACCCCAGAGGAAGGAATATATGTTGTACACGATCTTATATTATCAGAAATTAATGAAACCATAAAGCGTGAATTACATACTTGCCTTTATAAAGAAAGAAAAGATAGTAAAACAGATAAGCCAAAGTTTAGGAAAATTGACTATGAGTTGCACTACAACATCTTAAGGTTACTAAATTTATCGATCCGTTTCAATTCTGAACCATTTTGTATGAGACTTGTTACCAGCTTATGCTTGACTTTCATGGCCGATTCTGACTATACTCTTCGTGATTTATACAATCGAGAACCTACATTAGAGGAGTTAAACTTTGGAACCTGCAATTTCACTCCCTCGTTCAAATTCGTTATATCAATCCTAAATAAGCTAAATGCCTTGAACACAACCGAATGTCTTGGCTCGAACGAAATCGAACAAATCAACTCGATATATAAAAATTATTACAAGCTGTTGTTATTCAACTTTGTTGTTTTTAAAACCTTCCATTCAAATCTGAATACTGTGCAAAACAGACAGGATTACGAAAGAATAAAGCTATCTAATTATTTGAACCTCAAGCAATTAGCTAATACCATTAATAAATTAAAAGGCAATGTCCATAGGCAATTAGGTGAATTATCCAATATTTCGCTGATAAGCCAATCGTCACCTTATAAAGATGATGTCATACATATAATCACTGAGTATTATCATTTGTTGCACTATCTCGCTACTAAGTGTGACAAAGATATGATGTTAATCCACAAGGATACATTCTACGACGACAAGTCTCTCCAATAAGTAAGTATATAGCATAATTTGAATATAATTTCATAGCATTGTGTAATGGTGACTCGAAAGTTGGACTTTATGCACCACGCGGGATGTTGGATCTCTGGCAAATACCATCCTCCCGTAAATTTAAAGCTACAGCAAATAGGGCATAATTATTATTATCAGTATAGAAGTTATTTTTCATCTAAAAAGAAGACATCAATGACATTAGCAGAAGAAATCAAACCGTACATTTTCAAGAATCCAGAAATCGAAGAAAACGAACATCCGGGATGTATGGTTAAATTACCGTATGGATTTGGGCCTCTTCCCCCACAAGCTAAGAATAAGAAGATTTTCTATTTCGATATCGATAACTGTTTGTATAATAGATCAACTAGAATTCACGATATGATGGAGGTCAAAATCCATAAATATTTTAAAGATAATTTACAATTAAATGATGAAGATGCTCATAATTTACATCTTAACTACTATAAGACGTATGGATTGGCTATTGAAGGGTTAGTTCGGAACCATGAAGTGGACGCAATGGAATATAATGCAGCCGTGGATGATTCTTTAGATTTGAAGTCGGTATTAAAATATAATAAGAAATTGAGAGAACTGTTACAGCATATTAAAGAAACTAGTGATTTTGATTACTTCTGGTTGGTGACTAATGCCTACAAGAACCATGCCTTACGGGTCATTTCCTTTCTTGGATTGGGTGATATCTTCGATGGTTTAACATTCTGTGATTATGCATCGTATCCAATCCTCTGTAAGCCAATGAATGATTATTTTTATAAATGCTTCAACCTAACACGGGTAGATTATGATGATCAGAATGTAATGTCATATCAATACTTTGTCGATGATAGTGAGATTAATGTAAAGGCTGCTCATAAACTACACCTTGGTAATGTGATTCATTTCATAGAGCTTGATGCAGATTACGAAAAAATTGTATCAAAGCCTGATTTCTTTGAATATTATGGTAAAGGTGATAACACTGACTCCTCGAAGATTAAAATTATAAGAGATATTTTAGACTTAAATAAAGCTTTATAGTGACCAAAAAATGTCAATTCACGAGATTTTTTTATTTTGTAGATTTTAGATTTCGTTATCAAAAAAATTCGATGTCTGAAAAAAGTTAAAAAAGCTCCAGAATACACGATAAGGCTAGTACTTTAAAAAGCTTTTTTAATAAATGCCTCCTAAAAAAGAAATAAAGTTTAAGGGTAAAATCTTGTTTCTACACGGATACACTCAATCTTCCTCGGTCTTCTACGCCAAAACATCTGCTTTGAGGAAGAAACTATTAAAGCTAAATTATAAATCTGTCTACTTGAATGGGCCGACAAAGTTAACCCCAGCTGATTTGCCGTCGACAGACTCACTCTCTAAGTTTAATACGGTCATATCAGACGATGAAGAGACAAATTATAGATCGTGGTGGATAAAACCTCACAATACAAACGATGGCATCGATCTATCTGAATCAGTGGCCGAGATTAAAAACTATATAGAAAAAGGTGAAATTATTCCAGATAACGACTTGGTGCAAGAAACTGAATCCGAAGAAGAAAGAAGGCTCCCTATAGTTGGTATAATTGGTTTTTCGCAAGGTGCTGCTTTGGCTGGTTTATTAAGTCATAAATTTAAGGACTTATTTGGTGTTGATTCTTTGAAGTTTGTGATTCTATACTCAGGTTTTAAAATTGATACATCAGAAAAGTCTGGTAATACAAAATACAAAGATTATTATCCAGTCGATAATGGAGAGTCTGATCAATTTAAGTTACTTCATATTTATGGCGAATTAGACACTGTTGTGCAAGAAGACCGGGTTCTTTCGTTGTATGAAATAACTAAAGCCAATTCTGATATTCTAAAGCATCCGGGAGGACATTTTGTACCTAACTCGAAGTTGATGGTGGATCAAGCGACTAACTGGATAGTTCATACAATGGAAAATAAACAGGAAATTTCGAAACCTGAAGATGATTTAGATTCACTTATGGACATGATGGATGGTTTGGGAAAGGCATAGATTTTAGACTATTTAGATATATAAAGAAATATTACAATTCATCATGAACTACTTTCTTGGCCTTAATACCTTTTCTATAATTGGAATAATACTTTTTGTCTTTTTTCGATAATGGGCCCTCTAAAGGTTGAACATTATTAGATCCTATAAGCCATTCACTTAATTTCACTTTATCAGTAAGCTTTTCAGATTCGAACCTGGAAAATTCCTGAGTTTTCTCGTCAAAATTGAGCAAAATTGGTAACTTATCATTTTGACCGATGGGTAAGACAATTTTCTTACCATTTATTTCAATTTTAAAATTATTTACATCTTTGAGTGATTTTACATTAACCATTCCGAATTTCAACGAATTAATGAAATCAATAGCTAAAGATTTGTATAAGGGACTGATCTGTTTTGATTCTGTTATGAGTAAAACCTTATTATTCTCTTTATTCTCCATTAACCAGTCCCTTAATCCGTCTGATTGTAAGTTTGCAAATTTTTTTACATAATTCTTGATTCTAGACGTTATGAATGCATACATTGATTTCAACGATCTTTCCCCTTTATATGGCTCAACCGCATGGCTGTATACTTTACTCTTCTTCTTCGAATCATATTTCGGCGGTCTAAATACCATCAATGTAGGAAAGCCACTGATTTTATATTTGGCACAAAGTTCCTTATTTTTATCTTCATCACAATTAACACTAGCAACATTTATAGCATATTGGCCATCATTATGTATTAACTTGGCCAATTTATGGTAAGCTGGCTCTAATTGTTTACAATACCCACACCAAGGAGCGTAAAATTTGACTAGAGATGTATAATTTGTTTTTTGAATAACTTTGTCAAAATTCGATGGTGATAATTCATATATATTGTCATCTGATTTGTATAAATCCCCTTGGGCTCTTGCAACTATAGCTACTATCAAATGGACCAAAATCAAGCAGTGTTTCCATAAATACATTGTTCTTTGTCTAGTACTTCAAACGCTTATACCTTGAATTTTCTGATTTATGAAAGTAGAACAGCTCACTGATTTTTCAGCACATAGAGCGAGTTTCGGTGAATACATTTTTATAACTAATTGAACCTCTAATGCCCAACAACACTATTATTTGGAAGATAATCAGGTACTTGGATACATATTTAATGTATCTATAGATTCAATTCATCGTCATTATAAAATAGGATGATGGTTTTGCATTCAGACGTGTAGAATACGGACACATCGAATACAAGCACTTTGATCTTTATCTTCTACTTAATTAAACCTCAATATTTATATCATGTATTGTTCAAAGGCGACAAACTAACTAATATACACCGTATTTGTTCTATCTTCATCAATTATTGCAAGACTTCTTTTATATGCTCATTCCAGCTATCGCTAAATATCGCTCTAGCTCATACATTCAATCATCTCTATTCAATTGATCTCTATTCTATCGAGCAAGATTCATGCTTATTTTCAACTACTTGAAATCCTCTTTCAGACGTATACGCCAAAACTGTTGGCAACATACACGGAGCCTAACCCAATTGATAAAGAAGCTAAAATTGCATGAAAGAAATAATTGAATGGCGATTGTGATTTCTTATCCACTAATAACGCTAATGCCAATGAAAAGAAGGCTAAAATGATATTAGTATACAATTAAAACCCTTGTAAATTTTTGCATTTAATTTCAAATTACGTACCGATTATAACTAAAATCACAGCAAAAAGAATAGAATATTTACTCAAACTGCTTGCAGCAACTGGGCTGGATTCAAAGTTAAAGATGCGTGTGTATTCCTCGTATGATACACCAAATGACATTGTTTAGAAGAAGTTGTAGATTATATTGGCGTAAACAGATCTAAATTATAGACATATTAATATGCTGTTCATATGAACCCAGAATTATTGGGCTTCGCACGATTCCTATTTATGTAGATCCGCTTTATATATTCGATTATCTATTTGTTTACATTTTCCTTGGTTTGTAGCTATATAAGCCCTCTAGAATTGAGAGAAGAAGTAAACCTGGTCAATAAGAACCTTCTCCTTAGCATACTTCACTTGCGGAATACTAAGGTCTCCCTTGACGGCGAAACCGTGAGATACACCCAGGAATAAGTCATATTGGTACGTAGCCTTGTTAGCAGCCAATGTTTCAATTGTCTTATTTCTCAATTCTTCTGTGAAAATGCTATCAGTTTCTGCAGCAGAAATCAATATCGGCTTAGTAACGGCATCAACTTCTTCGATCGTGACGAACGAAGGGTGGGCCACAGCAGCAGCAGTAAAATATCCGTCCTTGCTCAAGTTTTGTATACAAAATTTAGTACCAAAACAGTACCCAACACCAAAAAGTGATTTTGGTGACTTCTCCTTAGTTAATTGAGCCAAAAACCCGTCCACGATTGATCTGGTGATCTCGGGGGAATGCTTCTGGATCCAAGTTGGGAATTCGTCAAACGATTTAACTGGATCACCCATTAACATATCTGGAACTACCACTTGACGACAGCTCATTTCTGATAATTGGTCGGCAATCAATGCAACATTAGGTAATTTATATCCATAAATATCTGTTAAGATAACAATAATCTCTTCATCACCGAACTTTTCACCTGTTTGGTAAGAATCTAATCCAGCAATTTCTTTAAATTGACCCTTTGCTTCACCTTCATGGTAGACAACATTTAAGCAGCATGCACTTGGTTTATTTGACGCCATATTCGTATTTCCTTGTATTGTAATATAAAAGGAGTATTATATCCTTAAGAACTTCGGATTTTGACGGGCTTATATATCGGGAAGTGCATCCATAGGTGTGTGTGTCCAAATCTCTAGAACCGATTAACACCGAATGATACAACCGAACTGTGCTATTAGAAGAAGTTGTTAGAAGGTATCAAGTAAAATATGTCAGAAAGTGGATGGAATACAATAGATTCCGATGCAGTATGTACTATAAACAACAATTGAGTTTAAGAAGATAATAATTCTAACAGAATAGGGAGTTTTCACAGAACTAGTTAATAAGTTGCAGATCAAGGATGTTCAATTCGATGATTTATACTCTATAGATGCCGATTCATTGAAGAGTTCCAGTCCATTGTATGGGGTTATCTTTTTGTTTAAGTATGGGCAGGTTGATAGAGACTATGCGGCCGATAATAATAAGCCATTAGATGGAACATATGATGAAGATTACCAACAGAAAGGGATTTTTTTCGCTAATCAAACTATTCAGAACGCATGTGCTACACAAGCAGTGTTGAACGTGTTGTTAAACAAGCCAGAGATCGAGATAGGAGAAGAGCTTACAAACTTTAAGGGTTTCGTGGAAGGTTTTGATAGTGAGATCTGTGGCGAAACCATCTCTAACAGTGAACTTATCAGATCTGTTCACAACTCTTTTTCATCGCCATCGCTTTTGGTGGATGAGGATAAGCAAAAACCAAAGCCCAAGTATGATGACAAAAATGATGGATTGTTCCACTTTGTTGGGTACTTGAATATCAACGACCAAATATATGAGTTGGATGGTTTAAAAACGTATCCAATAAAGCATGGCGACTGCAAATCAAACGAGGAGTTTTGTCAAAAATTGCCGGAGATATTAATGAGACGTATAAGTCAATATGGTGATGAGTTACGTTTTTCGTTGTTGGCAATTTCGAATGACAAATTACGTCACTATCAAGAAATCGGCGATGGTGCCATGATGCATTCTGAAATGATGAAAAGAGAAACATGGAAAAGAGAAAACGAATTAAGAAGACATGATTTTTTTGGATTGATGGTAGAATTATTAAAAAATATAGGAAAGGATTTATCTGACGATGAATATGAAGATATAATAAAGCAGGCTAGACATAAAGGCCAACTAAAATTACTACAAAACTTTACTAAAAACCATGTTGCTAATAATTAAATTATATATATATACTTATTCATAATTCCAAATATATAACTTTGGTCCCATATTTTAATCAATATCACTGAATGCGAGAAATCCGCCTCCTGGTCCAGTACTGTGTCTTGAAAAGTAGTCAAAATCGATACTAACAGCGTTACCCAATAATATCGCCCTTTGATCTAATGTTAATGGTCCAGCTACCGATGGGTAAAGGTTTCCCATTCCAGCAAAACTAGCAGGGTCCATTCTAATTATATATACACCTGAATCGGTAAACATTTCTCTTCCTAAGCCCACCCAATTTCTATCCACGGAAGCAATGACGTCGCCTTGGTCGTTTTTGACTGGAAAATCAAACGATAAAAATGGGGCATCTATTGCACCAAATTGCTCGTATTCATCAGTTACCTCGTCCTCTAATTTGAATAAGTTATATTTCCGTCTCCATAAGTGCCAGTTTTGACATGATTCTCCTAAACTCTCAAACATCAAATCGCCATGATCATCGTAACCAGGTAAGTAACATTTTATATGGGAATTTATAAACGAAAACGGTCTTTTAATCGTCAATAATAAATCTCCGTAATTATTAAATACATCAATATCAAATGGCCTATGCAATCTGAAAAACTGTCTCCCCAACATTTTCATGAATCCTATATCTTTTTCTTCCATAAACCCTACTTGTTCACCCAAGGAATTCATAATCTTGTATTTATTCGCCTGCTCGAACCCCAAAAAGACGTTCATCATTTCTACCTGTCTCTCAATGACTAATGTTGGCTCCTTCAATATTTCATAAATTCCATCCTCAGGAGTAATCAATCCATTCTTATTCGGTGGAACAGAAAACACAGTATGGTTTGCTGTTGGCTCATCACGATACTGTTGGAAGTCGCTTGATGGTTTGGTTTCGTAATAAAAGTCATTCTTATTCTCCTGGTTTCGTTCCTGCTCTTGAAATTTCCGAACCTCTTCAGCTGATATTTCTTGCGTTCTACGAGTCTTATTGTAACGAGCCAATTGCCCAGCTCCCGAATTAGAAATCCTCCGGATGGAATTCAACTTCAATCCATGCTTTATTACAGATATTCCTGTATTCCTTATTATCATTTTGCTTAGCACTTCTAGTCTACGTCTATAGTAAAGATTCTTGTGGCGCTTGTAAACCATTCGACTATCATTATATGCAGTATGGTAAACCATTTGATTGCAAAATAATTATTAGTACTTTACAGTTGATAACCCATATGAAAAGTTCAAATGGTCCCTATATACATATTGCCGTCAGAATAGATCACAAGAATGCTCTATGATCCTGATTTAATAAACTAACCATTTATTTCACTCTTTTTTTTTTCGTCTTCAATTTCATGTTTGCTTTCTATTCGATCCCTGAACGTTCTGTAAAATTGAACTGAAGCTTAGCTTCCAAAGAGCTATGATCACTTTGTGGGTTGGAATCATATACTAACGCCTTGAATAATCTGAAAACTGGCGATAACCGGAAGCGTGCATTTATTCTCGAAAAATGGATATTTGTCTACGTCATAACCTAGCTTAATGATACACAACACGTATTCATTTCAAGAATTTCTCCTGCATTGCTGGAAATAAAATGATTCGCTGATAGAAATAACCGATTCGCTCTAAGTTGAAATTTGGAAATGATCGGATCAACGGATATTCATTCATCCTATAACGCCCCGGGGAAATGGAAAAATGAATATGAAAAAATCCGGGGAAAATACGAACTGAAAATTTTGGGCTGGAGAATTTGGGCTAAACTGTTCAAGTGAATTTTATTCAAATATCAGTAACAAATACAATATCAGTAATAAATACAATAAATAATGATATATAAATAGCGAGTAAGGTAACTCTATAAATGCATGAGATTAGTATCAACTTTCAATTGATAAAAATAACCTAATCGATCTTTTTAGAGCTTACGCCAGGAACAGGAATTTGGGTTTCGCCTGCTAAAACACGCTTCATGAATTCGTAAACAGTAAATGTAACAGCCTGACCTGGGGCAACTCTCATAATTCTAGGGGTGATACCCTTGTATAAGGCATGAATACCTTCTTCCTTAATCAATTGATTAGCGATTTTAACGATTCTAACCAAACCTGATTCATTGGAAGCGTAAGTGGTCTTCTGTAATCTGGTCTTAATGGTATCCAAAGGAGCATTGGATAAAGGACCTAAAGCACCAGAAATCAAACCAATACACGAAGTTTCCCATGCTGGTAAAACTTCGGTGTTGTGGTAGCCTTGCAAATATTCCTTAATCTTCGAGTAAACAGTGAAGTTAACACCTTGGTTAGTAGCTTGTCTAGCAGCTGTCAACGAAACACCTCTGTACAAGGTACGGAAACCTTCTTCCTTGACAATAAGATAAGCAGCGTGTGGGGCATTTCTATACTTTGGAACATCTAATGGGTCAGCCATGGAGTGATGTTGGGCTTGTAATCTAATCTTCACGACTTCCATAGGGTTGACAACCATAACAGCTTCGGTGATACCTGCACCAACACCAGCAAGGAATGTGTTACCGGTGGAAATGGATCCATCTGGTCTGTATAATAACGATCTATAAAACTCATATGAGGAGAATCTCAAAGCCATCTTTGGAACGATACCAATAACAACTGCCCCTAAACCTTTGTACAACGACATAAAAGTTTCCTTTTGGACAATATTGATACCAGTTTTAATGAAACCTGGTGGTTTTTGACCAGACTTTCTGTATAATTGCATTCTAACCTTAATGGTATCTAATGGATGACAACATAAGGCTTCGAATAAACCAGCTGTACCACCAGCAATTAAATCAGTAATACCTTTTCCTTTGGTTTGTTTTTGAGGTTTAGCTGTCGACATTTTTGTTCTGAATATTTAACTTTTGACTAACTTGAAGCGATTTTAACCTAGTTCAATTTAAGCAACTAAAAGACTATAACTATCGTTTTTCAAATTTTTCAAAATTCGTTGAAGAAAGGCTTTATATATGATTCATTTTTTTGTGGGGGACTTAGTCAACTGTTCCGGTTCTCCGGGGTAAGATAACGCCGAGGACTAATCATTTCGTGTATTGGTAAAAACTTCCGTGATAGGCACGGAACAATCGAATACATGGACATAACTATACTAGTCCGTCTATATAATGAAAATTATGTATGCGATTGACAAAGTGTTCTTGTAGAATGAATTCCAATCCCGAAATCGCCGACAGAATTGAATACTTTACACTTATAGGACAGTCATCGTCTATATGGATATTTCGTAGATATTCAAGAATAATCCTAATAGCACAGTCTTGAAACTTCGTTACCCACGGAGAAGTGGTAAATTTTAGAGTCCTAACGTGTTCGGAAAGAATGTCGAAGCTAAAAGTGTTAGTAGTCATGATATTCAGAAATCGAGGTGTGTAGATAGAAGGATACATACTGCAGCTTCAATTCCCTGGTGACCATCTTCGAGACGAGGCACAAATCGACTAAAAGCAGGTCTATGCGATGGATCCTTGTAGTAGTAGTACGTTTTATGACAGGTAGTTGGTTAGCTAGTTTCTGAAGGGCCTTGTTGTGCAATAGATGGAGAGCAACTGTCGAGTCTGTTTCAAGCGGACCGCGGTCGAGATGATCGTTGATATCATTGTTGCAATCACAGTGGTGTATCTTAGAACGCACGGCGAGGTTCGTATCTTCAATTATGTAGTGCTGTTTCGGTTGAATAGATTTTCGATGGTTATAGACCAGATATAGGTAGGGTGAGTTAGTTCTATCTAGGGTGAAAGCGGTTGGATTGCGACCTATGTTTTTATAGACTAACTCGTCGACGCTAGGAGCCAGAAGTTTCATTGCAATCCATAGTTTAACATCGGGCACACTATGGAGAGATGTATGATAGCATGTTCCAATTGTTCTTTTTGCAATCGATAGGATCCCTACATTTGTGTTGAATGCGGCTTCGCGAGCATTTCCACATAGCACATTATCGTAACTAATACATTAAACTATATGAATCCCAAATAATACACACTATATATAAACATAGATATAAAACAGTACTACTCATTAACAGTATTAATGGCAGCTCCTGCATTGGCAGTTGATGCCGCCTTTTCAACATTTTGTTCTTCTTCTCTCTCCTTCTTCAATTCACTTAATCTTTTGGCTTCAAGATGGACTTCTTTGGCATCTTCAGCCAAATTTTTGTAGAAATCATGCACCTTCATACCATAAGGATGATTAGAAGCTTTTTCTAAATATTGATTCCATTTCTTTTGGTATCCTGATTCATTGAAGGATTTCGCTAAGTCACCAAGTGTGGATTGCGCCTTGGAAATTCCCTTGCCTGCAGCCGAGTCTGGCTGATTAGAGTGTATGTAGTTTTCATCTAACGAAGTCAAAAATGACTTGAACTTAGAGGAGTATCCCTTTTCCTTATCGACATCAATTCCCTTTTGTATCAAATTATCTGACAAGGTATAACCGGAAGCTAATAATTGAGCCATTATAGCATATTTTGGCTTTTCTTCTTGGGAAATATCATCATATTCACTGTCTCCCGTCACTGTAGAAGCATCTGCATCCTTATTATCCCCTGAAGCTAAAACCGAGCTCTGAATCTTATTATCACCCCCATAGGATGCATTTTGGTTACCAACGGCAGCATAATCAGGAGGAGTTTCTGACTTTTCGACCTGAATTGGAACAGAATCCAATTCTGCTTCATTTAATAATAATGCGGTATGCAATGCCTTTTCCAGTTCGAATTGAACTTCATATTTTCCAGTTTTTTCCGTTTTTTCAATCAAATTGATCGACTTCACCTTACCACAGAATGAGAAGAATTCGTGGAGTTTTTCATTTGAAATTGTTTGTGGAACGTTTGAGACAATTACTGTTGACATTTTGTTATATTTGAATATGTTCTATTTATTGCTTAAGATGCTTCTTCAAAGAATTGAGACGTAAAGAATACTTTAAATACTTTATATATGTCTTTGACTATCGAACAATTGGTAGCAATGAATGATCATCAATACCAATTTGCAATCATATTCACGTGATTTGCCTTCAAACGTATTTACAAGTACTAGTATAGCCTTCTTGCTAACTAAGCACTTCCGTGAACATACGCCTCAAATCGCTAGTTGAATGGTGACTACCTCGCACGATGAGAATGTTTAACATTGCTCACGTTGAGCTTCATTTAATAGCGTTATGCGCAATGACGAAATTAATCTCAGGAGATGAGACCCATACATACAATAAATCATTACACATGTATCACAAAATCATACATTTAGTATACAAATAACCATAGAATTGAAACATCAGACGTCATACTTGGAGGTCCACAATGTAACTAGTACATCCATCTGTAACTTGGGTTTGCAGGGCCGTCACGAAGCTCAGAGGTGGGCACATCTCTAAAAGTCAAGTTGACACCTTGCGACTTGTTTCTCCTGCGATTGTCATATATCATGAATAATACGATCGAGGAAACTATTATAATTGCTAAGCCACCGAATCCAGCAGTGATACCTAAAGCCGGTACATATTTGGGCGCATCCTTTGGTCTGAAAATGTTGGTGGAAATTAAACCTGCCGCGTTTGCTAAAGGAACACCCACGGAACTAATGACTATACGACGATTTTCGTTAGGAGTATTATTATTGTACCACGTCGATGTAAGAACCGAAGCGGCCGAAGTACCAGTCGTCATTAAGAAACACGAAAAATATGCAGCCAGCAAGTTATTTTCGATGTCTATTGCACCGTAAACAGCAAAACCAATCAACGTAGACAACACCGCAATACAAATGAAAAGCGATCTGATTCTTAAGAAGTCGGACGAAAATGAGATGATGATCAAAGAGATAGCACCCCAGATATTTGGTGCTACTGTGAACAAGTTAGTTTCCACCGTGGACTTGCCTAAGGCCCCAATAATTTGGGGGAACCAATTATTGATTGAATTGATTGGAACCCCGATACATATTTCTACAAACATCCATGCAACAGCGACTGGATGTTTGAAGACCTTCACAGCATCACTTAATGAAAGCTTTTCCTCTATCTCTGCAGAAGAATCTGTCATAATACGGTGAATAGCACAAGTCCTTTCTTCTTCGGTAAAAAACTTTGCAGCTTCCACTGACCTTGGTAAATATATATATGAAATTACTGCGATGCATACCGTACAGCTACCTTCGATCAAAAACAATATCTGCCAGCCATGTAAATGAGGGTTATTGATTTGAAAAACACCGTATGAAAGTAAACCAGAAAATGCATTAGCAATATTTGCTGCAGCGTAAAAAATAGATAATCTTCTAGCTAATTCACCACGACGGTAGAACCTGGTTAGGTAGTAAATTATACCTGGGAAAAATGCCAGTTCGGCCATTCCCAAAAACCATCTTGCAGCCATTAATGATCCGAAATCAAATACAGATACCGCCAATAAAGTTACTGATCCAAATGTAAACATCAATACAGGAATAACCCTAGCAGGATTGTATTTCTTAATTATCAACGATATAGGAAATGCAAATAATACAAATGGTATATAAAAAATCGATAGCATCAAATTCCATCTGTCGCCTGTTATTCCTAAGTCTATATCAATTCCGTCTGTCTTAGAGTTACTAATATTACCCTTATCTAATGCATTGAAAAGATACATCACTGCAGCTAGTGGTAAAATCCTAAAATCTAACTTGCGGCAAACTCTCCTCTCAAGCACATGATCGATGTAGTTATTATTCACTGGAATAATATCTCCATTTGTTGAAGTGATATGGTCTAATCCTAAAGACTCATTGCTTGAATTAGATGTTTTGGGTTGAATTTCAAATCCGGATGTACGTTTAACTTTATCACTCATTGGATACTTTTCACTTAAGGTTAAATATTTTAATCCTAGTTACTCACTATCATATACTACATGAGATAAAGTCATATATATATATAATTCCACTCTCACCCTATCTTATCATACGTAGATTCATTAGGTGTACTAATAGAGGGCATTTTTTGATAACGAGGAGAATTAAGTCGCAGCTTTGGTGGATGGAAAGTGCCATCCACTCGATTTATGGGGGAGACAATAACACCCGTACAAACATTATGGCATTGCATTTCCCAATAAGGTCACATAACAATGTAACAAGAATCAACCCAGTTCCGTAATCAATATTAATACATAATATAATTAATATAAAAGTTCTCCTCCAAGCAGAAAATATCACTTTTTCAAGTTTTTCTCTAAAATAGGTCCAATATATCACAGTATTACAAAATGCCAGCTGAAAAATTAGAATGGTCTGCAATTGACGGCAAAGAACACCCGGTTTTGGGTCCTGCTTGGAAAAGCAATGGACATGTCTTTACTTCAGGAATTGTGGGGCAGAACTATGGCAATGGTCATATTCCTGAGTCGCTTGAGGAACAAACAGAATTAGCCATAGCAAATGTCAAGAAGGTTTTAGAAGCTTCTGGTTCTTCATTAGATAAAGTTTTCAAGGTGTTAATGTTCATCTCTCATTCCGATTATTCTGCCACTGTTAATAAGATCTACGGAAAACACTTCCCGCAAAAGCCAGCAAGAAGTTGCGTCGTTGTTGCATTTATGGACGCTGCTATCAAAGTTGAGTTAGAAGTAGTTGCCTCAACTGATTAACCATGGATAGTATTGATGTATAGCTATATATTTATATCATTTAAACAAGCTTATCTAATTGTGAAAAATATGTATTATGTAATCGAATAATGCAACCAAGATTTTGAAAGGTTGATATTGATAATAATTAATGAGTTGATGTATAATTTGCATCGTGTTAAAAGGTGGGTATGAGTGGAACCGAAATCGAAGGAAAGAAAAGAAGAAGGGTGTATGGTAAATTTAGATGTGATGTCTGTGATAAACAATTTATTAGGGCAGACCACCTTGTAAGACATAAACGGAACCATGATCCCCAGTATTTAAAGTATGTGTGCAATTGGCCAGGTTGTGGACAAAAATTCTTTAGGAACGATGTAAAGGAGAAGCATTACAAAAGGCACCAATCACGACTAGAGAAAGGAGCAAATGATAATAGTCCTAATGAGAAGAATCAAGATCAAAACTTTTCATACGCAAATACTGATCAGAGTACCACGCATGAAATATCGAAGACTCACGCAAATAAAAACCTAGAAACGATACGTGACACACGCGTAAACCATGAATTAGAAGAATTACGGCCGCCTGTGGTCCAAAATCTCCAAAATCACCTCCATCAAATTCAACCTGCTATCCAGGACCTGGTTCAAGACCAAGCTAATGAAATCGAAGACGCGATACCTGATATGACTGGAAAGACTTTGTCACCATCCGATCTAATTGAATGGCTTTTCCACGATGAGTCAATTCCAGATGCGTTGTCTGGCGTTCATCATAAAGCAAATGCATTTCCGAATAGACATGCCACTGATATAACTAGTACCTTTTCACCCATGACTTTATTGGAGAATATTTTTGCCGTTTCACCAAACTTTCCTCATTCCAATACAAGGAAAACTATTGATGAAAATGTTAGGCATCGGTTGATTGAAATAATACCTTCGTTGGATTTAAATCCTGATTTCAATTTAATTCAAATCGAAAGATTTTTGGAGATATATTGGCTAATTTATCACCCACAGTATCCTATTTTACATAGGCCGTCCTTTACTAATTTTGAATGTCATCCTTTATTACTACTTGCAATGATGATGTTGGGCGCTAGCTTGACTAGTTGTACAGGCTATCAGGATGCTAAATTATTTCATAATCCGCAGAAATTGGCGAATGAGATTGCTGAACCTTT